GGGGGGGGGCACGAAGGTTGAAGGCTTCAAGCCTTGCTACGAAGGTAAGGTATGAAGGGGCTTCACCTTGCCCTTGAAGGTGGATGGGAATGGGGGGCTTGAGCTCATCTTCAAGGTAAAGTGCAAGGTACAACGGTTGGGCTTGTTCTCACCTTCAAGGTAAGGTTGAAGGGCCGCTGGGAGGCCAAGTGCTTCAGGTCGCCGGCGCTAACATCGCCAGCAAAGCAGACATACCGTGCGTCCCGCGGTCGCATCAAGAGACGTGGGTCCGCGTTCAAGACCCCACCAGGCACGAAATTCATCTCTGCAAAGACAGCCGCGTCTGCCTTCACTGGCTGCATTCCTGCTTCGGTCATGCGCGCGTCGTCTCGCTCAGACAGACCCCTGTCTTGCACTGCATGGCAGCAGCTGATGCGCGCGCAGACGGCGACACCGTCGGCATAGGAGGATGGATTAGCACCTCCTCCCAGTTCTGCTGGTTTGCACAGCAATGGACCATGTCTGAGGTCCGCAGGCGCTACCCAAAGCTTACACAGCCAGCCCAAACATACATCGCATGCTTTGAAACGTTGGCTCAGCTTGCCTTGGCAATGATGGCTAAGCACCGCCTGACCGCAAAGCACTGGAAGTTTTGCCTGCCTACGGCCAGTGATAACACCAGTGCAGAAGCAGGCACCAATAAGCTCTTCACGACTGCCCAGCCCTTGTGCGATTTCCTGCAGGACGTCGCTGCGTGGTCCGCTTGCAACCACGTTCGCCTTCAAGTCACGCACGTGGCAGGCGAAAAGAACACTTGGGCAGATGAGCTCAGCAGGAACAAACTGCACCGATTCGCACATAGAGCGCAGCAGCGGCACTGGTTTACCCTGCCGCAGCTAGCTAGCTCAACAGGCCGCGTGCAGCTGCACCCCCCTGACGCAGCCTGGCAAGAGGTCTTCAAGCAAGCTAGCGCGTGACAGTTTTGCCCCAGCCTGCGCTTGGACAACAAAAGAGCTCGCGCTGCTCCTTGTTTTGTCCAGCTCCGCGAGCACAAGCGTGTTGCTGGCCACCTGACAGGTACATACCAGCACCCCTGACGCGGAAGGGGGATGAGTCAGGCTGCCGTGACACAGGGTTGCTGGAGACTAAAGTAGGCCCTAAATAAGTAGCTTTGCGCGCATGCTTATGCTCGTCGGCTTAGCCTGCCTGCATAAGCATGGACTCTGACTCCAGCAACCCCGCTGATAAAAAGAAGACTGTTGCCTGCACGCTCTTCTTTCTTTGCACTTGCATGCACTAGGCAAACTGTTCACATGAACGTAACATGTCTTCTTTTCATGTATGTTTGTGTGACTAGGTAAACTTGTGCTTGCATGCTCGCTTGCTTACCTTCGTTTGCCTAGTGCTGCTGTTTGAGGCTCTAGCCTCAACAAGTTTCACCCACCCGCCCTTCCGGGTTTTGCACGCTAGCATTACCTGGGGAGTCATGCACGCTTTGCATTTCTCGGCCCGCTTGGCCCCCAACTACGCAATGGCCCCCCTAAATAAGTAGCTTTGCGCGCATGCTTATGCTGGTCGGCTTAGCCTGCCTGCATAAGCATGGACTCTGACTCCAGCAACCCCGCTGATAAAAAGAAGACCGTTGCCTGCACGCTCTTCTTTCTTTGCACTTGCATGCACTAGGCAAACTGTTCACATGAACACACATGTTCTGCCGTGATTGGCTGCATGCAATGCCCAGCCTCACGTGAATTTCATTGTGTGAGTTTTCCACATGGACCGTCGTTCTTTGAAACACGGATTGCCCCATGACTATTTATTTGCATGTGCACCAAACACTCGACCGATGCAAGTTTGGCGAATCATGGCAATCGATTGAAACGAATACATATGAATTAACAAACAACATATCTTTGCAAAGCCAAGTTCTACAATTTCTTTTCTTGCTTGCACTTAGTGATAGGCCAACAAGAGTCAGTGATCCAAAAGGGCTAGGTAATGTTTCTGTCTTTCATTCAAGCAATCGGCCAGCAGCTCTGATCCGTGGTGACATGGTCAACACTTCTGTGTTCTGGACATCTTCGCTGGCTGGGTTTTTTTGGGTTTGGTGGCTCGTGTGGGCCATCCATACGTGGAGGCTTCACTTTTCCTTACGCGTGGCGCGCTCCAACCCTTCTAGTCCCAGCAGCGGTCGACGCCCTATGGTTCGCCCGGCATTGCAGAGCTGTCCTGTTTTGCTTGGAAAAGGAACTGTGGGGTCCAAGGGCTCATGTCCCTTCAGTGGCACCCAAAATTTCCAGATGGACATGAACCACGTGCGTTTAACACTGGGGCAATATCTTTGGGCCGCTCACTGTGTTGCTCTACCAGCGTTTGCTCTGGTGGTGTTTTGGATGGGTTTGATTCAGTTCGGATTTTTTTGCTGTTGTTATGAAAAAAGTTGTAGCATGATACAATACCAGCAGAATTTGCCATACCAAATTCAACAAAGCTTTTGTTAGTCTTTTTATACAAGATCAAAGACAAATGTTCTGCATGTAGTTTTGCTGTTGAGGTGTTTGGATGGTTTCAGATCCAGCTTGCTCGGCTTCTGAAGCTATGTGGCCTTCTCCGCAAGGCCTCGGACGGAGATGTGCGGCACATGATCCCCGGTTGTTCTGAAAAATATTCATTTACATTGTCATTTTGGGATGATGTAGAGACACACAGCGAGCATTTCATGGGCCAACGCAATTTTCTTTAGCAACAGCCCAGGATCTACCACTTGGTGTTGGAGAACTTGTCCACAGGAGTGGCGCGCATTGAGGACACGGAGGCCGGGCGCGTGGCGACTTTTGTCTACAGTCCATTTCCGTTGTACATGGATTGTGGGCCACAGGTGCAGTTTGTTGTGAGGAATATGATGGTAGTGAAGTTGAACCTCGACAACGCGGACTTCCTGACTGCTGAACTTGATGGACACACCTGCGACTTGATGGATGCTGCTGTGTTGCTTACCCACTATGAGAGCAATGTGAATCACGGCAAGATGCATGCCTACGCCAACTGGGGCATCGACCCTGCAGACAGTACAAGCCCATACCTGCAGAAGATGAGTGTGGTCACAGCATGCTACAACCACTATGGTTATACCAACTTCCCCCAGATGGCCAGCAGCCTGGTGCATAAGGATGCAGGTCCCGCTGTCGAAGCAGTCCTTGTTGAGTCTTTGAGAACAGGGGTCCCAGAGCATAAGCTGGTGACAGCGCTGGCAGAACATTCCAAGCTCTTGAAGTTCATAATTCAGTTGAGAATCCCTTTTAAGCAGGCTTTCAATCGCTGCAGGGCAGATTTCCCAGCAAGTTATAGCTGTGAAGCCCACTTCTTGGGGACCGTCGTGCACTCCTTGGACCACTGGGCATTCGTCCGAACCATTGACCCTTGGCTTTTCAGTGCACTCAAGCCATCCAAGCATTTCCAAACGCTACACCGCACAGTTCTGCTCGCTCGCTGTTGTGCCGTGGATGACATCCCGACTCTTGGTCTTGAGAAGTACTTTAGAGATGGTAGTACAGAGTTCCATCGAATGGTGTACTCTGCGGCGAAGGACCTCGACAGTAGCCTAGCAGATCAAATTCAGACTTGTATTGTCAAATGATCCCGGGTTCCCCTACTCCTACCATAGGGGGGTGGTATGAGGGGGATCGTTGGGGAACCAGGGACTGAGTGCGAGCTTTCTCGGAGTTTCCCAGGGTTTCCATCTTTGAGAGATCTTTTAAATTTGGATGTACGTAATGCGGCATGGATACCCTCAGTATAGGGATTCTTCAGGGGCTATGTAGGAATATAAGAATTAAGATACGAATATATTTTATGGGGATTATGTAGGGATACTACTTGCAGTAGTCCTTATGTACTCCCTTATCACAGGCCCCGTAGCGCGCAACTCGACGTTTCATGCAGTTTTGTGCCTGGTCGGGAATTTCCGGCATGAGCGCCGGTTTCCCTTGGCCATGTGTCTTAGAGCTAGGAAAGCTGGGTTGCCGTTACGGAACTTAAGTTAAGTTACTATACTGGGAAACGACATTATGTCTTTTAAGTTATTATACTGGGGAAACCTTTATATGTATATGTATATATACGCCCATTATGGTAATTTTTTAAGTTCCTTGATAGCAACCCAAAGCGTGGTATTTGTGTGTTTCTGGCTGAAGTCTGTTGTGCTGCAAACCCAGCTCAGCTGTGCAGTTGCCACCTTCAAATTCGCCGCAGAAATTCATCGGATTTTCTGCGGTTTTTCCACTGAGCTGTCTTTGCGGATCGAAGAAAATGGGGGTTTCCCAAAATCAGGGCTACTTTTTTGGGGTCCCCATAATCAGGATTGAGGTATGTTGGGGTCTAGATTGGGGTCCCCCTATCTATGGAAACTATTGTATACCCCTACATCAGCCCCAAATATTAGCAGCTTCCATTTTCAAATCCATTATCTTACATTACACCTATATATCCCCTTATTCCCTACTAACCCTAAACCCTAAACGCCACCTTATTGGGGTCTCTTTATTTTGGGAAACTACCATATCAAACTTATACAACCCTATATAGAGTAGCTTCCCTTTCATTTTCCATTTGATTTTCCATTTGACTCTCCATTATTCCCATATTGAGGTCCCCCTAAACCCCAAACCCTAA